TAAGTAATTTACTTGCCGAGTGCTAGGGGTTTTTTAAAAAATCTTGCCAGGTAGTACCTGAGTCAAGAGGATCAGTAATTACTATCCCTCCTATGTGCGAATTTTCTTTTTATTATACTATGAATCTCGTGTGATTTGACATATTGTTTTACTAACTATAACTCGTAAGGATAATAATATTAGTATACAAAAATTTTTTTTCAAAGTAGTTTCCACTCGATTGGAGGTTGGTGATTCCAGCTTTGCTAATCCCTTTTCATTAGCATATTGACACCTTTAATTATGATTCTAAACATTGTAATAGATCGCACGACAACAAAATGTTGCAATTTTGAAGGTAGGTCTGAAACGATTTTATACCTATAATTATTCAGCAGGTTTAATAGGACTTATTCATAATTCACATAATTAGTCGATGGCTAAGATTATTGCGGACGAGCAAGGTATTAACCTTGTGGGGGCATCATGTGGATTTTATGGACCCGAAATTATTGCAGAATATTCACATAATCAGCCAAGTCCAAAGCGTGTCTTGAATGACGAACATATTGAAAGTGATGGATTTTTAAAGAAAAGACGAAGTGCGGACGATTATCGATCAACTCTTCCAAACGAGGTCAGGATAATATATAAATTAAACTAGCAAAAAACATCTTGTAACCCTTTTGCATATGTCATAGATCATGATTACCAACGAGGGGACTTCCCAACGAAAGAGATACGATAATGATTTTCCACCCTGTGACGAAGAGGATTTCTCGTCAGACTCCGACTCTGAGATTATTGAAACTTCTGTCGAGCTTAAGAGGATTCTAGACCAAACAGTCGAATCGGATGCACCCCGCACTCCCCCTCCTCGTCAAGCTCAAATTCAGTTTAATAACGAGGATAACGATTTACATGATCAAGATAGGAACGAGAATGCATCAACCGAGGTTCAAGATGAGAACGAGAATGCATCAATCGAGGTTCAAGATCTCATCACAAAGATGGAAAATGTAGATCATCGTCTTTTCGAATATCGTATTGTCAACCTATCCGAAAAAAGTCTCATAGATCCAGTAAATAAAGTCTTTTCGGATGATGATAAAAAAAGAATGAGAAAATTCTGGGAAGAGGTATGTATTATATTAGCCATCAACTTTGGATTGTAATCAGTAATAATCTTGCACGTTCTTTAGATGGAGCCATCGGTCAAAGAGAAGCAGAATACATTGCGTCGACCTAGGTGGGAAAAGAGTATCAAGCCTCTAATTGACAAGTATGCGCTTGCTGTTGAGGTGAAGCCAGAATCGGTTTTTGATGAATATGTTCAGCCACCACCAAAAATTATCTTCGAAATACCATTCGAGGGCGAGTTTGATTTCAAAAAACATTATGACTTGTTATGGGTACAAGATATCTATCGGCGATTGTAGGTATACCGTATACCTTATTACTTAGTATAATGAATTAATTAATTTCTGTATTTTATTTTAGCATGTTCTTGTTCGCCATATCTTTTAACATGCTTCGCGATGCAAACACATTGGAGGTAGCTTACAGAGAATCATTTGTTAATCCTAAAATTCCCAAGGCATTCGAGGATGTGAATGACAAGATCAGGTTTGAAATGTATGTTATTATATTCTATATAGTTTTAATTTATTGTATTTATATCTGATGTAACGAATTCTTGATTAATCGAATATAATATTTGCCTAGTGGAGAGATAGAGAGCGCACTACGTAAACAACGTCGAAACCAGACAAAAGGCCAAAAGCCTCGGGTAATGCTTGGGTCAAAACATGACGGGATTCTAAAGATTTACATGAATGCAAGTGAGATAGAGATTGGATTCTTAGAGGTTGTAGGGAACGAAATGGTTGTGGATCTTAAAAAATGTCGTGAAGATGTGGAGAAAATTGTTTAAGGGTTTGTAATTGTTAGATATTCACGTCTTGAATTCTTTATGCAGTAAAGTTCATGGAATCTTTTTATCTTTGTAGTGATGCAGTTGTCAATATTTTACCAGCGACAGCACCACCTACGACGTAATGCAACAGAGGAACAACTTGAATGCCTTCAAAGTTTTGGTGTATTTGTGTACCGTACGTAGCTTTCGTGCTGTACTTATTACCGATTCAAATTATCCATAATATTTTGCCCTATCATTTTAGAGCGTGAGACAACAATCTACACAATGCACCGTTATAAAGGAGGGTTGTACATTGTCGACATCCTTACAAACTTCACGATTCCGGACAACAAGGACCAGGCATATGTGCTGGATGAAATCGTAGAAAAAGTGTATTTTTATAAGGTACAAGTCCTGGTAATCACTATATAGAATGTTCGTTGATCTAACATTATATTTGGCATTATAGAGCCGTGTAATGGATTATTACCTTAAGTTGCAGGAAATCTCGCGGAAGGCGCAGAAATATACTCCCTCAAATGAAAATCCGGTAGAAGCGTCACCATCCAAAAAAAAAAACAGCGAAACACCTTATTGCAAAAAGAATCAATGATAGAGGAATTAATTTCTAATAAATGATAATTTTCTTTCTACCTGTGACTGTTATTCGCAATATATGATAGTGGTATTGATTTTTTCCCTAGAGTATTTCTACTATACCTCTAATAATTTTTGCATTTTAATAAAACAGGCCCTGAGACCAATCTTGCATTAAAACATAAGAGATTTCTGGTATAAATCCGTTTATCATTATTTAATACTCTGATAGTTGAGCTAATAAATTATGTTACGATTGAGTCACGGTTAATTTATCGGACTATGACCATGTATTGAAGATCTCGAACCCGCAAGAAGAGGCTTGCCGGCACAGTATAAGAAATAACGCTTTCTCGTTTAGAATAAAGCAGTTATATTATTGAAGATAGGGCAACTAAGACACCTTGCGAAAATGTATATATTACAATGAGGTATATAAGAAAAGGATTAGCGATTCGATCAGGCAGAGAAAGCATGAGGAGAAACTTCAGGATCAAAATTCAGACATATCTTCAGTTAATCACGATGTTTCTTTAGCGACATCCGAATCATGTGATATAAAAACCGTTCCCTCAGGGAACGATCAAGATTCAAGTAGAAAAACCATTTGTTCGAGAAATGATCAAACTGAAATATCTGAATTAGAGCAAGATGATGAGACTGATAAAAATCAAATCGTAGCGCAGGGTTTAATAGAAGAATTATGTTTATCCACTGAGAATTCTGCGATAGATAATACCAGCTCTACTGAAATTAATATATCGGAAATAAAGGTTCTGCCCAACATTTGTCTCATTTATTTAAAACAGCAATCAAATCAAGACAACAGGAAATCTTAGACTGGTATTATTATTCTCTTGAATTCGAAAATAAGGTTCGTGATATTATAGCCGATGATAAAATCAAAGATAAAACAGCTAGAACAATGATTTACAAAGAAATGAAACCTTTTCTTTCTAATATCAC